ATTTGTGAGGTAACAGAGGTGCTCAGCCCGCAGTCTCGCGCTGAGTGCAAGTTTACAATCTGCCAAGCTTACCGCATTGTTCACTCTCAGTAGCACAGTTTTCAACGTGCCAATATACTTCAATATAGGTGTTACTTGGAAAATAAAGACAGGTGGTTTGGTTTGAGGTGGAGGATCACAAGTTCAACACCAGCCTGGGCTAAGTACAAGGTCTAATAGATAGATTAGATAGACAGAAACTAGATGATGGGTAGATGGTGGACAGAGATGCGATCGATCCCATGGACTAGGAGGGGAGGGGAGGCCGGCGTGGGTGGGGCGGCCGTGCCCCTCGGCATGTCCCTCCTGCTCCCCGGGGGGTCCGTCACCCTCCCGCCTCCATGTCCCTCCTGCTCCCCAGGGGGTCCGTCACCCTCCCGCCTCCATGTCCCTCCTGCTCCCCACGGGGTCCGTCACCCTCCCGCCTCCATGTCCCTCCTGCTCCCCGCGGGGTCCGTCACCCTCCCGCCTCCATGTCCCTCCTGCTCCCCGGGGGGTCCGTCACCCTCCCGCCTCCATGTCCCTCCTGCTCCCCGGGGGGTCCGTCACCCTCCCGCCTCCATGTCCCTCCTGCTCCCCACGGGGTCCGTCACCCTCCCGCCTCCATGTCCCTCCTGCTCCCCGCGGGGTCCGTCACCCTCCCGCCTCCATGCACCCTGACCTCCTGTTGGCTTCCCGGCCGCCCCGGGCCCCCACAGCATCCTCGCAGAGCTGCAGTCTGAGGTACAGGGAGCGCCTGCTGCTGGCCTCTGAGGAGCCCCTGGTGTTACACGTGGGAGACGCCTTGGGGGGTTTGTCCTTAGCCCCTGCAGGGCTCGTGTCTGTGTCCCCAGAATCAGCCTGCTGGTGGGCAGCATGTGGAAGGGGACTGTGGGAGGTGACCAGGGTTGGATGTGGTCATGAGGCCTCATGGTGGGGTCAGCCAGAGACCTTGTCTTTGAGCAGCCTTCACCGGAGCCCAGCCCAGCTGGCTTTTGAACCAACTTTCCAGGCCCCAGGGCTGCTAGAGTGAGCATCTCATTTAAGCCTCTGACTTGAAGGTGCTTTGGGTAGGGGTGAGGATTCAAACTCAGGGACTGGATGCTGTCCTTGAGCTATTTCCACTCAAGGCTGGCATTTACCACTTGAGCCACAGCTCTACCCCTGGCTTTTTGCTGGTTAATTGGAGATAAGAGTCTTGGGTTTTTCTGCCAGGCTGGCTTCAGACTCCAACCCTCAAATCTCAGCCTCCTGAGTAGCTAGGATGACAGGAATGGGCTGCTGCTTCATCCTGGGGCCTGAAGTCAGGGCCTGGGCACTGTCCCTGAGCTGCTTTTGCTCAAGTCTAGCACTCTACCTCTTGAGCTACAGCTTCTGGCTTTTTTTGCTTATGTGGTGCTGAGGAATCGAACCCAGGGCCTCATGCATGCAAGGCAAGTGCTCTATCACTGAGCCACCTTCCCAGTCCTGGGAACCACCACTTCTGAAGGTGCTTTGTTACAGCCGTGAGATGACCAAAACACCCCTGCTCTGCAGTGCAGCCCCCGCCCCAAGGACTCACACGCATGACTGAGTCTCAGTAGTCTTTGCTTCATGGCTGATTGCATGGATGTGCCCAGAGACGCTCGACGGGTACAGGGAGGACAGCCAGTCAGCAGCCCTGCCAGCTTTGTGCAGACCCGCTTCACGCCACGAGTGGACTCTTTCCAGAAAGTGTGCAACCCTGCACCCATCCCTGCCAGAGCTCAGAGAAGACACTGCCTGGCCTGGACAGACCTCGCCTGTGCACCTCTTCCAGTCCGTCTGACGGGTGCTCTGCTGGCCCCTGTCTTGGCGGGGTCTCCCTCACGGGTGGCCATGGCCAGGTCCACACAGGGGATGAGCAACGCCGCCATCTGCCGTTCGTGTGGTGGTCTGTACACCAGGACCCCGGGAGGCGGGAAGCTGTGAGGTCATGGAGGGGCGGCGAGCACGGCTGGCCCAGGAGCTGCTACGTGAGGGCGTGTGTAGCCCAGCCTCAGTAAGAAGGGCATCTCCTGCAGGTGGTGCTGGGTGCTCCGGCCCCCTGGTGGGGAGGCGCTCAGCCTTCATGGGAATGTGCAGTCAGAGGTCTGGAGACAGGAGACACAGGCCCCAGAGGGTGCCCCTCAGGCCTGGGCACGCCACACGGCACCCGTCCTCACAACCGTGAGGAGTCCTGGTGAGCTGCCATCCACCAGGACACCCGTGCCACCACCTGACGCTTACAAACCCGTTCTGTCCACCTGCTCTCCATGTCATCAGAAGCAGAAACGCAGACCTCTCCGTGGGACTCTGGGGTCAGGGGGCTCATAGGTTTGAGGAGCAAAACCTCAGAAGGGAAATGGCATCAAGGTTACTGAAATCACCCTGAAGGTGGCATGAAATGGGTGCAGAGGGAACACTCTAAAGACCAGCCCCTCCCTTCGCCCACAGTACCGGAAAGGAGAGGAGGCTGCGAAGCCCAAAGGCGGGTCAGCCTCGTGCTAGGAGCTAAAGAGGCTGAAGCCTGCAGCGCCAGCCTGAGCAACTGAGCAGCTGAGCTGGCTGTCAGGGAGCCTGGACTCAACCTGCCCGCATCTGCTGCCGCTGGGATGCCAGGAGCCGCCCAAGGCAAGGCCTCAGGGTGGGCGGGGTCACAACCTGCCCTCAGACACGAGCGAAGTGCCCTGAGGACTCTGCCAGGACGGGCGGTGAGGTGAGAGGTCCTGAGCAGGACCGACACCACCCTGCTGCACCGCAGCCTCAGAGGTGCAGGCCTGCTGTGCCGCTCCAGACGCCAGACTCTGAGGCATCTGCGTGAGTCTAACCCATGCCCAGCCACAGCCTGGACCCAGAGCCATGGCTAAAGGAACCTGGCCTCACTGGCTGGCCAGAGGTGTAACACCGGTCACCATGGCCACCCCACTGCCCTGCGAGATGCAGCTGTATGAAGCATTCGTGGTGAAACACCGATCTGCATTGAGCTTGGCTGGAAGGCCACCCGGTGCCCCTGAGCCGCTCTGCACCATGCCAGCTCCCAGCCCAACCCAGAAGCCTGGCGGTGCAGAACAATGTGCAGACGTGGTCTACAGATGTGCACCCCACGGCCCACGGGAAGAGGATCTGGCTGTGCCCGGCCCGAAGGCTGGTGCCACAAGAGGGGCTACGCTAGCCCGAAAGCTGGCGCCAGAAGAGGAGCTTCGCTGGCCCGAAGGCTGGCACTCGCCAGTAGAACCAGTGTGGCATGTTGAGCCTGTTAAGGTTTGACCATGAAATGCCCTCCACAGGTGCAGGTGTTGAATGCTGGGTCTCTAAGTAGTGGTGCCATTGCGGGAGGTTGGAAGCTTCAGAAGACGGGACTGGTTGGAGGGGGGGATGCCCAGGGGTGCTTTTGTCCTCCTCCCTCCCCTGCCTCTCTCTGCCTCCACCAGGAGGAGGAACCTACTCTGCTACATGCTTCTGCCACAACACTGTGCCCAAGAGCTGGGAGCTAATGGAACCACAGCCACAGGAAGTCCTTCCCTGGACTCTGTTGGTGCCCGTCGCAGGGGTGAGGGCCACAGCCAACACTCAACCCTCCTCTCCATCAGACAGCAGACAAAAGGCCAGTGGTCAGACAGCCACCGCTGGGAAGCAGAGGACAGAGGCCTCAGGAAGAGGACGGCGTATGGACTCCCAAAAGGACAGCAAGAGTCCTGTGCCCTCCACAATGGCTGCCCTGCCCTGAGAGCATCCCCTCTTGAGCGGTCACCCTGCAGGCCGATGCTGGTGCCAACCTCCCCCACCGATGGCCCAGAGCTGGCTCTGCAGCAGGCATGGCACAGCTGGGAGGCTGACTGCGGGTGGTGACCCATCAGCACTACCTATGCATGGGGCCATGGTGGAGACGGTGCCGTGCAGCCCGGGCGGAGGCGGTGCCGTGCACCACGGGGCGGATGGGGTGGAGGCGGTGCCGTGCAGCACGGGGCGGAGACGGTGCCATGCAGCACGGGGCGGATGGGGCGGAGGCGGTGCCGTGCAGCACGGGGTGGAGACGAAGGTGCCGTGCAACACGGGGCGGTGCCGGTGCTGTGCACCACGGGGCAGAGGCGGTGCCGTGCAGCACGGGGCGGAGATGACGGTGCCGTGCAACACGGGGTGGAGACGGTGCTGTGCCATGCAGCACCGGGCGGAGGCAGGAGACAGCTTTGCCAGCAGGAAACATGAACCTTGCACTCCCATCCTGAGCCCCAGGACATCATTCGGGGAGGACGAGTTGCAGCTCTGTGTCTCAGTCCCTAGCTGGGGAGGCCTGCCCTGGAGGGTGCTGAAGAGAGGGAAGGGTAGGCCAGGGCCCTACCCCCAGACTGGCCAGCAACTGCCCTTGACAGGCGGCCTTTCCCACACCTTCCTCCTCTGGACGCATGGACGACCCCTGGGCTGCTGTCCGCCCCAAGGAGCAGCCCCACAGCTAGGCCTAGCGGCGCCGACTGCCGGCCTCCCTGAAACAGTCCTCGGAGTCACCTCCTGATGATGACTGCTGCTGTGAACCTGTGACCGGGCATGGGGCAGGATGATGGTGTGGGGTGGACGCGGTCGCAGTGCACGCGGCAGGCTTTCCTGCTGCTGGCCCGTCTGGCCAGATGGGGAGGCCTCCTCCCTCCTCCACTGGGCAGGGTTCAGGGCTCCACCCTTGACCTCTGCAGAGCCCTGGGACACACAAGGGACAGGACCAGCTGCTCCCCCAGGCTGGGCTTCTGGGCCTGTGCAGGGCCTGGGAGTTCAAGTCCGCCAAGTGGAATCACTGCACCCTCCAGAAGCTTCCAGGGGGTGCTGGTCTGTGGTGCTGACTGGAGGAGGCAGCACAAGGCCCCTTCAGCCGGGGAGGACCCCCTCCACCGCTCCCTTCAGCCGGGTCCTCCCGGCTCCCTCCACCGCTCCCTTGGTGGCAGCTGCCTCATTCACCCCGTGCCCGTCCACAGACGCGGACCCCAAGACTGAGGCACGGAAAGGTACTTTAAATGGCTGGGGGTTGGAGGTGGGCACAAAAGTATCCGATGGCCAGCTAACTGGCCAGTGGCAGTCTAGTCCATCTCGGCTGGGCTCACAGCCAGCACAGGCTCAGGAGAACCCGGGACTCCGGGGTCCTCGGGGGGCAGGGGCCTCCAGGTAGGACCTGGGGTCTGAGAAGGGGCCTGGTCGGGCCCAGTAGTCCAGTGCTCGAACCCGGTAGGAGCCAGAGACCACAGCAGAGTCTAAAAACAAGGCAAATGTGGTCTGGAGTGTGTACCCTAAACCACCCCAAGAACCTGAAACCCCATTCCACCAACACGGTACCCAAGGCCCGCAAGGGACACTGGGCGTACCTGGGCTGAACACAAAGAGGTTAAAGGTCGACGGCTTCCTGCTGATGGGCGTATACACCTTGCCATCCTGGGCGAACTGGACCTCATATGTCCACAGGCACCTGGAGGGACAGAGTCAGGACCGAAGCGGGGGTGGACACAGGGGTCACTGGCCCCTAAAGTCCTGCTTTGTGGACAGACCGATTCCCTCCGGCCCTCTTCCATTCTTTTCCTGGCTCTCCCATGAGAACAAGCCACACTAGCTGGAGGGAGAGAGCTGGAACCTAACTCTGGCTTTCAACGTCCTGTGTGGAAACCCACGGAGGAGCACACAGGTGGACCAGGGGTGTATGGGAGGGGGGTGCTGTGAGAGGCAGAAGTGTGCAGCCAGTGGTGGAGAGGGCTGGACACCACAGGAGGCGGGGGGGGAGGGTCAGGGATGGGCAATGGCCCACTCACGCACTTGGAGTCCACGAGCTCATCCGACCAGACCAGAACCAGCTGCCCGTGAGTCAGGGGCAGCACACGGAGCCGGCTGACCTGAGGGAGAGAAGGCTGGTGAGGGTGAGGCGGCCGGCCCAACGGCCCATGGGTGGGGTGGGGGCCTCCACCTGCCTTGCCGGGGGGCTTGGAGGGGCGTGCGCACACGTGCAGCAGCAGGAGGGAGGGCAGCGGCAGCTCGCGGTGCAGGACCAGGCGGCCCCCGCTGGGAAAGGGGTGCGGCACCGCAACCACGGGGTCCTGGGGACCGAGCACGGCATCGGGTTAGTGAGAGGTTCCGGGACTGAGGCCGGCTGGCCGCCCCCCCCTGCATCCCCCCCCCCCGCACCCCTCCGCAGGGGGGAACCTCAGCTGCTCGCAGGAGGCGGAACTGCGCGGCCGACGGGAAGACTGGCCGGCCCAGGCGCTGCCACACATGGTCTGGGCTGCAGAGCTGGTTGTCCAGGTAGTGCACCACATAGACGAGGCCTGTGGAACCCACTCCCAGCTCACAGGCCCGGCCCTTCCGGGTCCCTCCACCACCCGGCCCGGGGGCGCTCTGTGCAGGGCTGCTGACACCCCAGTGCCCGGGGGCGCTCTGTGCAGGGCTGCTGACACCCCAGTGCCCCGCTCACCCGGCCCGGGGGGGCGCACCGTGCAGGGCTGCTGACACCCCAGTGCCAGGGGGCGCGCCGTGCCGAGCTGCTGACACCCCAGTGCCCGGGGGCGCGCTGTGCAGGGGTGCTGACACCCCAGTGCCAGGGGGCGCGCCGTGCAGGGCTGCTGACACCCCAGTGCCAGGGGGCGCGCTGTGCAGGGGTGCTGACACCCCGGTGCCCCGCTCACCCAGCCCGGGGGGGCGCTCCGTGCAGGGGTGCTGACACCCCAGTGCCCGGGGGCGCGCCGTGCAGGGCTGCTGACATCCCAGTGCCCGGGGGCATGACACCCCGGTGCCCCGCTCACCCGGCCCGGGGGGGCGCTCCGTGCAGGGGTGCTGACACCCCGGTGCCCGGGGGCGCGCCGTGCAGGGCTGCTGACACCCCGGTGCCCCACTCACCCGGCCCGGGGGTGCGCCGTGCAGGGGTGCTGACACCCCGGTGCCCCACTCACCCGGCCCGGGGGTGCGCCGTGCAGGGGTGCTGACACCCCAGTGCCCGGGGGCGCGCCGTGCAGGGCTGCTGACACCCCAGTGCCCGGGGGCGTGCCGTGCAGGGCTGCTGACACCCCGGTGCCCCGCTCACCCGACCCGGGGGGCACTCCGTGCAGGTCCAGGGACACAGGGACGCTGTGGTTGGGGTGAGCACGGATGTCATCACTCGCGTAGACCAGCACTGTGGCACGCCAGGCATCAGCAGTGTCCTTGGGGTGGTGGACGCTGGCCAGAACGCCCACTGTGTGGTTGCTGCTCAACACCTCTCCAGCCTGCGACACCTGGGCCCAGAGCTGCTCCCCGTCTGCAGGAGTGGCCCATTGGGGACGTCACCACACATGACCTCTCCTGCCCAGTGCCTGGCTCCCGTTGTCTGCTCCCCTGCTCCCCCTTCCTTCCTTCCTTCCTTCCTTCCTTCCTTCCTTCCATTCTTTTTCTTTTTCTTGTCAGTCATGGGGCTTGAACTCTGGGCCTGGGAGCTGTCCCTCAGCTCTTCAGCTCAAGGTGGGTGCTCTACTGCTTGAACTACAGCACCACTTTCAGTTTTCTGGTGGCTTATTGGAGATAAGAGTCTCATGGACTTTCCTGCCCGGGCTGGCTTTGAACCATGATCCTCAGCTCTCAGCCTCCTGAGTAGCCGGGATGACAGGCCTGAGCCACCGGCGCCCGGCTCCGCTGCTCTTTCTATGGGTCAGTCTCATGGCCTCGTCATAGAGCAGGAGGAAATGAGAGCAGGGATTTGGGTGACAAGCCCTGACACTGACACTGCTGGACAGAACATGCTTGCCTCCACCAGCCCAGCCACACTCCCACTCGGGCACACGCGCAACTCCCAGCCACACTCACACACGGACACGCGCGGCTCCCAGCCCAGCCTGCACACACTCGCACACGGGCACGCGCAGCTCCCAGCCCAGCCGGCACACACTCGCACACGGGCATGCCCGGCTCCCAGCCAGCACACACTCACACACAGGCATGCCCGGCTCCCAGCCAGCACACACTCACACACAGGCATGCCCGGCTCCCAGCCTGCACACACTCGCACACGGGCACGCCCGGCTCCCAGCCTGCACACACTCACACACGGGCACGCGCGGCTCCCAGCCTGCACACACTCGCACACGGGCACGCGCGGCTCCCAGCCCAGCTGGCACACACTCGCACATGGACACGCCCGGCTCCCAGCCTGCACACACTCGCACATGGACACGCCTGGCTCCCAGCCTGCAAACACTCGCACACGGGCACGCCTGGCTCCCAGCCTGCACACACTCACACACGGGCACGCCCAGCTCCCGCCCAGCCTGCACACACTCACACACAGGCACGCCCGGCTCCCAGCCTGCACACACTCGCACATGGGCACGCCCGGCTCCCAGCCTGCACACACTCGCACACGGGCACACCCGGCTCCCCTCCAGCCTGCACACAGGGTGGCCAGGGGGGCGTCTCACCCAGCAGGGCCAGCAGCCCCATGGCGGTGAGCACCGGCTTGCGCAGCAGCTGCACGTGCGGCGGGCAGGTGTTGTTGACCTGGAAGCGCGCCGTGAGTGTGCGCTGGGAGAACGGGTGCGGGTGGTAGCTGAGAAAGGCATTGTCGTTGCTGAGGAGAGCGTACCGGAAGGAGGAGCTGGAGTTGGCAACCAGGAGGTTCTGATGCTGTGAGATGACCTGAGGGCAGGTGGAGAGTGACTGGCAGCTCCCGCCCCACGCTCCCAGCGGGAGCCCGGGCTGTGCCTCCCAGCCCACAGGCCCAGGGGAAACGCACCTTCACCACCATGGCTGCATAGGTCACGTCTGCCCGCCAAGGCTGTGGCACAGACCAGCCCACCAGTGGGTCTGCCTCGTCGTTGTAGATGGGGGTGTCCTTGAACTTGGGGAAGAGCTGCTGTATCTGCTGCACGGCGGCCACTTCCTGCTCCAGGATGGCGATGGAGCTGCCTGAGCCCTGCAGGCAGCACCGGGCTCAGCGCCACCTCCGGCTGCTGGCAGCAGCGGGTGGGCCAAGCGGGGGGCAGGCACCTTCTTGTGCAGGGAGATGTAGTCCAGCCGAACGCCCACCTCCCCAGTGAAGAAGTTGGTGCCGTTAGCACAATGACCCAGGAGGCTCCAACACAGCGGCGATCGAGGCAGGGGGTGGAAGGAGTCGCCAGGGCCGCCCAGCCGCAGGGCAGGGCTGGCCGCTCGCAGGCCCTCGGAGCAGGCGTCATAGTAGTTCAGGAAGCCTGGGCAGAACCATGCTAAGGGCCTCAGGGGTGCCAGGCCCCCTCCACACCCGCCCCACCAGACACGGCGGCACCCACCTTGTGCGGTCATGGACACGTTGTCAAAGTCATGGTGATCCGGTTCATTCCAGGTCTCAAAATTCCACTTGGAAACCTGTGCCAGTCCGTATCTCCCTGCACAGTGCCCTGCTGGCATGAGGGCTCCGCCCCCAGCCCTCAGCACAGAGCCCACCCTACACTCCTAGGGTTGGGTGCCCAGGGAGGGGGTCTGGCTGTGACAGGGGTCTGACTGGAAGTGGCCTCCACCAAGAAGCCCTGACTTGGGGCGGGGAGGGGGGCAGTAATGGCGGAAGACGGCCAGGTGGCCTGGGTGGGGTGGGCAGCCTGCCTGGGTTTCTCCTGTACCCCACACCTATGTATCTCCTGGCCAGGAGAGAGACGAGGTCCTTCCACTCAAACACCTGCTGCTTGTCCTCAAAGTCAGTGAAGTGTCCCGAGGGGCTGCCCATCAGCTCAAAACCTGCAACAGAGGGGTGAGCGCCGGCTGCTCACGCACGAGCCGCCCAGCTTGTGCTCCAGCTCCGTGACAACGCAGTCGGTGCTGAGTGGAGGCAGGACTGCTGCTCACCAGGGAGGAGCTGGTGCTCCTCGAGGAGATCCAGGTAGGAGTCCAAGTGGGTAAAGTTGTAGCTCAGGTCCTGCCCAGATGACTTCCTGTGGAAGGATGGTCAGTGATGGAGGAGAGCCCCAGCAATGGTGGCCACATCGAAGCAGGCACAGGGAGCCCAGCCCTCCGTGGGCCTTCCGGGAGAAGGCCCTAGCACTGTGGAAGCATGTCACCCAGTCTAATGTGAACGAAGAAGATGAACGACTTGAAATGGGGCTCAGGCCAGCCATGACACCTAGTGGTAAGAGAAGCAGATGGGTCCTGGAGGAAAGGTACAAGAAGACACTGAGGAGTAGGGTGGACAAGGGACAGCTGATCCAAGAGCGGGGCCAGTGGAACCCAGTGGACATTCTACCCTGCTTCTCTACACTCAGAACATGGTCCCAAATTTGACCCAATACTCTCCTTTCCCTCCCAGACTCCAAGAGGCAACCTGGATGGATGGACAGAAAAGAGAACTGGAAGCCTCACAGACTCCTCACATGCCGATTCCCATGGGGTCCACATTGCAAGAGAGATTGTGTTATCAGACAACGGAGTCTTCTTGTTTGAATTTGTTGTTACTGCAAAGGTGATATACAGAGGGGTTACAGTTATGTAGGTCAGATAAAGAGTACATTTCCTTTTGTTGTTGTTGTCGATCATGGAGCTTGAACTCTGGGCATAGGCACTGTCCTGGCCTACTTTGCTTAATATAAATTTTTTCAAGTTTTTCCATTCCTCATCAATGAGACAGTGACACTCTTCTGAAGATAAATAGGAAGCCCAACAGAATGGAAAAGTTTTTTACCCACTATGCATCAGACAAGGTCTTCATATCTAAAATATACTTAAAGCTCTAAAAGTTAGCCTGCTTAAAAAAATAACCTCTCAAAAACAGGACAACCCAATTAATAAATGGGCTAAAGACTTAAAGAGAGATTTCTCAGAAGAAGAAGTAAGAATGGCCAGTAGACACATGAAGAAATGTTCAACATCTCTGGCCATAAAAGAAATGTAAACCAAAACAATACTGATATTCCACCTCACTCCAGTTATCAAAAAAAAAAAAAAAAACCCTAATAATAACAGATACTGGTGGGGATATGGACAAAAGGGAACTCTTATTACACTGTTGGTGGAAAAGAAAACTTTTTCAACCACTCTGGAAAGTGGTATGGAGGGTCCTCAAAAGACAAAACCTAGTTTCCCTGTGACCCAGAAACTCCAATCCTGGGCATTTATCCAATAGACCACAAACAAGGCCAGACTAAAGCTACCAGCACAACCATGTTCACTGCAGCATTGTTTACCATAGCCAAGTCTTGGAATGAACCCATATGCCCCTCAGTAGACAAATGAGTCAAGAAAACGTGGAATATATACACAATGGAATTCGTCTCATCCATCAGAAAGAATAACATTGTGCCTGTATCTTTAATAAAACACCAGATGGGATGAAGGGTTCAGAGTTATCAGAGAGGTGCCATCAAAGCCTTGCCAACTGCAGGGACAAGCCAGAGAGGAGAACAAGTAACCAGGTGCCCTGGGGTAACCAAGCGTCAGGCAGGCAGCTGGCAGGCCTGGTGCAGTGTAAGTTGTTCACCCAGAGGATGCTCCCTGGGGTCTTGAGACACTCGAAGATGTGGTGTCTTCTCAGAGGAGTGCCGCCGTTGGGAAGTTCCCCGTGCTGGGCAGGTTTGTGAGGGTGGTGGTCTAGGGGAGGTCCCTGGTGTTTAGGAGTCTGGAGCCTGGGGAGGAGCCCTGGGCCCGGAGTGGAGCGCCAGAGTGCCGACCCTGGGGAAGGGCCAATCCGAGACCCAGGTGAGCCAGGGAGCCTGAGGGTTTCCTGCCGACGTCCCCCAGAGGACACGGGGCCATGTGCCAGGGCAGCACGGGGAGGGGGCGGCCAGCACAGCGGTGTGCCGCTCCTGTTACAGGCCGGCCATCCCAGGCCCGGCTCCCGCCCTTCCCGTGGCCCTGGCGTGCCCGGGGCCCGCGCTCCCACCCCCGGCCCCTCCTACCCTCGCCCCAGGTCAGCCCCGCCGTTAAGTCCTGGGATGAAAATTAACACAGCCGCCGTGATCCGAAGCTGCAGAGGCCGGTTCTAGAAGGATCGCAGCGGAGCCGGTGCCCGCACCCCGGGCGCGCCAGGCCTCCGGCAGGTGCCCTGGTCCCCGGCCTGCCGCCCCCGGCCTGCGCGCCCCCGGCCAGCCGCCTCGCCCCGTCCCCGGTCCCCGGCCTGCCGCCCCCGGCCCCCGGCCTGCCGCCCCCGGCCAGCCGCCTCGCCCCGTCCCCGGCCTGCGCGCCCCGTCCCCGGCCAGCCGCCTCGCCCCGTCCCCGGTCCCCGGCCTGCGCGCCCCGTCCCCGGCCAGCCGCCTCGCCCCGTCCCCGGTCCCCGGCCTGCGCGCCCCGTCCCCGGCCAGCCGCCTCGCCCCGTCCCCGGTCCCCGGCCTGCGCGCCCCGTCCCCGGCCTGCGCGCCTCGCCCCGTCCCCGGTCCCCGGCCTGCGCGCCCCGTCCCCGGCCTGCGCGCCCCCGGCCAGCCTCCTCGCCTCGGTCCCAGGCCTGCAGCCCCGCCCCGGCCCCGGGAGGGGCGGGCGGGGCGGGGCCCTGCGGGCACGGACCGCTGGGGAGAGGCCCGCGGACACGCGAGCCCCCAGGCGCGGGCGCGCGGTGGGCGTGGCCGGACCGCACAGGGGTGGGGGGGTGGGGGGAGGGCGTGCACCTGGGTGCGGGGGGAGGGGAGGCTGCAGGGCGATGCCAGGCCTGGGCAGGGGGAGGGGGGTTCGGGGCAGGGCAGGGGGAGGGGGGTTCGGGGCAGGGCAGGGGGAGGGGGGTTCCGGGCAGGGCAGGGGGAGGGGGGTTCCGGGCAGGGCAGGGGGAGGGGGGTTCCGGGCAGGGGGCAGGGCAGGGGGAGGGGAGGCTGCCGGGTGATGCCAGGCCTGGGCGCGGTGGGCAGTGGCAGGGGGTGGAGGGGGGGGGGGTTCTGCGCAGCCTGGGCTGGACGTTCTTTCCACAGTCTCTTTGGAAGCAGTTCTGATCGGGCTCCAGAGCTGCCTCTTCTGTCTGTTTCCATCAGAGGTAGGGATACAATGTTTCCTTTCCAAATAGGAGGAAGGGTTACAATGTTCCCTTTCCAAATAAACATACTCAAAGGTTTTTAAATCCATTTAGAGATCACAAAAGGCTAGCCAGGCACCCGGTGGCTCATCAGGCCTGTCATCCTAGCTACTCAGAAGGCTGAGATCTGAGGATCACAGTCAAAGCCAGCCCAGGCAGGAAAGTCCTTGAGACTCTTATCTCCAATAAATACTCAGAAAACCAGATGTGGTGCTGTAGCTCAAGTGGTAGAGTGCGTGCCTCGAGCTGAAGAGCTGAGGGACAGCGCCCAGGCCCAGAGTTCAAGCCCCACGACCGACAAAAAGAAAGAAAGAAAGAAAGGAAGGCAGGCAGGCAGGCAGGCAGGCTGTCACCAGGAGAAGTGTGGCGTCTAGGGGCAGTGCTGGCCTGCAGCCCTGCCTCCATGGGCCTAGCAGAGTGGAGTCTGCAGGTCCACACTGGGGGGGAAGGGGGACTGGACACGGCCACCCTCAGCATTGACCTCGGCCCACGAGAGACCAAGCAGAAGGATACCCCACCCCACCCCCACCCCCCTGCTTCAATCCTCACGTGGCAGATACAACCCACTGCATGCTCACCTTCTACACTCAGACCAGGCTGGCAAGGCCTGGTGTACATGCTCACCTTCTACACTCAGACCAGGCTGGCAAGGCCTGGTGTACATGCTCACCTTCTACACTCAGACCAGGCTGGCAAGGCCTGGTGTACATGCTCACCTTCTACACTCAGACCAGGCTGGCAAGCTTGGTGTGCATGCTCACCTTCTACACTCAGACCAGGCTGGCAAGGCCTGGTGTGCATGCTCACCTTCTACACTCAGACCAGGCTGGCAAGGCCTGGTGTACATGCTCACCTTCTACACTCAGACCAGGCTGGCAAGCTTGGTGTACATGCTCACCTTCTACACTCAGACCAGGCTGGCAAGCTTGGTGTGCATGCTCACCTTCTACACTCAGACCAGGCTGGCAAGGCCTGGTGTGCGTGCTCACCTTCTACACTCAGACCAGGCTGGCAAGGCCTGGTGTACATGCTCACCTTCTACACTCAGACCAGGCTGGCAAGCTTGGTGTACATGCTCACCTTCTACACTCAGACCAGGCTGGCAAGCTTGGTGTACATGCTCACCTTCTACACTCAGACCAGGCTGGCAAGCTTGGTGTACATGCTCACCTTCTACACTCAGACCAGGCTGGCAAGCTTGGTGTGCATGCTCACCTTCTACACTCAGACCAGGCTGGCAAGCTTAGTGTGCATGCTCACCTTCTACACTCAGACCAGGCTGGCAAGGCCTGGTGTACATGCTCACCTTCTACACTCAGACCAGGCTGGCAAGCTTGGTGTGCATGCTCACCTTCTACACTCAGACCAGGCTGGCAAGCTTGGTGTGCATGCTCACCTTCTACACTCAGACCAGGCTGGCAAGGCCTGGTGTACATGCTCACCTTCTACACTCAGACCAGGCTGGCAAGCTTGGTGTGCATGCTCACCTTCTACACTCAGACCAGGCTGGCAAGGCCTGGTGTACATGCTCACCTTCTACACTCAGACCAGGCTGGGCAAGCTTGGTGTACATGCTCACCTTCTACACTCAGACCAGGCTGGCAAGGCCTAGTGTACATGCTCACCTTCTACACTCAGACCAGGCTGGCAAGGCCTGGTGTGCATGCTCACCTTCTACACTCAGACCAGGCTGGGCAAGCTTGGTGTACATGCTCACCTTCTACACTCAGACCAGGCTGGGCAAGCTTGGTGTACATGCTCACCTTCTAGACTCAGACCAGGCTGGGCAAGCTTGGTGTACATGCTCACCTTCTATACTCAGACCAGGCTGGCAAGGCCTGGTGTACATGCTCACCTTCTACACTCAGACCAGGCTGGCAAGGCCTGGTGTACATGCTCACCTTCTACACTCAGACCAGGCTGGCAAGGCCTGGTGTACATGCTCACCTTCTACACTCAGACCAGGCTGGCAAGGCCTGGTGTACATGCTCACCTTCTACACTCAGACCAGGCTGGCAAGGCCTGGTGTGCATGCTCACCTTCTACACTCAGACCAGGCTGGCAAGCTTGGTGTACATGCTCACCTTCTACACTCAGACCAGGCTGGCAAGGCCTGGTGTGCATGCTCACCTTCTACACTCAGACCAGGCTGGCAAGCTTGGTGTACATGCTCACCTTCTACACTCAGACCAGGCTGGCAAGGCCTGGTGTACATGCTCACCTTCTACACTCAGACCAGGCTGGCAAGGCCTGGTGTACATGCTCACCTTCTACACTCAGACCAGGCTGGCAAGGCCTGGTGTGCATGCTCACCTTCTACACTCAGACCAGGCTGGCAAGCTTGGTGTACATGCTCACCTTCTACACTCAGACCAGGCTGGCAAGCTTGGTGTGCATGCTCACCTTCTACACTCAGACCAGGCTGGGCAAGCTTGGTGTACATGCTCACCTTCTACACTCAGACCAGGCTGGGCAAAGCCTGGTGTACATGCTCACCTTCTACACTCAGACCAGGCTGGCAAGGCCTGGTGTACATGCTCACCTTCTACACTCAGACCAGGCTGGCAAGGCCTGGTGTACATGCTCACCTTCTACACTCAGACCAGGCTGGCAAGGCCTGGTGTGCATGCTCACCTTCTACACTCAGACCAGGCTGGGCAAGCTTGGTGTACATGCTCACCTTCTACACTCAGACCAGGCTGGGCAAAGCGGGGAGCAGTCAAGGTGGCAGAAACAAGAGCCACCGCCAGCTACCTGGGTGTACCCCGCTGTGCACTGTGTGTTCTGTAGGACACCCTTAGCACACAGCCAGGGCTCTGCTCTCCTGGGAGACCCAAAAAGAGGAAGCCAGTCTCCCAGGCATTCCCCTGGGAGTTCCCCAGCTGCTCCTCTATTGTGGGGTGACATTGTCAGTAGCTGCCCACTTGCCAGCTCCCATAGAGCCTTTTTTTTTCCCAGAGAGAAACTACCCACCCCTCCCGACAACTACTGGAAATGGCTCCTGTAGGCCACACTCAGGAGCTGGGCAGGCAGTGGCCTGAGAGGCCTAGAGGTGGGGAGGGGCCTCGTCCAGGCTCCAGCTGAGGCCTGGCAGAGCCATGGAGGTGCTGAGACCCGGGGGCAGGGTTGTCCAGGAAGCAAGATTGACTTGGGGGAGAGCTGCGTCCTGAGCACACACTGCCTCACCTCACAGCATATCGCCCACCACAGTCCACGCCCAGACCCCTCCCGGGGGGAGGGGGGGGCTCCAGGTTGTCTCTGGCCAGCCCTGTGGCCAGACCAACTCCTGGCAGGAGAAAGCATAATCTCCAGTTGAGCAGCTCTGCTGCGGGGCATGGAGGTCCACTGCACTTGACTGCAGGCCCCACGCTAAGGGGTAGCAGGATCCCTGTGCTCCGCTTCGTCAGGAGCCTGCTGCTGCACCCAGTCACCCACCCCAGCCCTCCAGGCAGGACTGCAGCCACTGGTACCTGGAGCCCCTACTCCAGAGAGGCCCACACCACCTTAATTATCTGTGGGCCTCTGATTCTGATTACAGTACAACCCACAGGATTAGCTCACCGGATTAGCTGCTCAGGTAACACTCGATTGTCAGGGGCAAACGCATGACTCAGCTATCTTTGGGGTAAATAATTTAACCGCAGGCCCAGTACCAAGTGCTCCCCCACAGGCCCGCCTCAGACCTGCTGCCCCTGCTCCCCACCTGCTCACCGGAGCCAGAACACTCAGGCGTCCCTCCCACCGGCAGCCTCCAGCCCCGGGGTCCCACAGCCCAGCCTGTGCACCACCTCCAGGTAAGCCTCACCCCTGCACCTCAACGCCAGGCCACAGGCAGACAGGACCCAGATCCCACCGTTTCTTTGGAGGGCACTCAGGCACAAAGCATCTCTGTGCCTAGATTCCTAGGGACTTGGGGTGAGCATCCAAGCACCCAGGGCCCCCTAGGTGCTGGGGTCTGCAGGGCTGGGCACCCACCGACCGCCGACAATGGGCCACAGCCAGCACCGGGTGCTCCAGCAGAACAAAGGGTGTTTGCTCAGAACTGCCACAAGGGAATTTTTAAAACAAGTACTTTGGAACTTGTAAACAGAATGGACCCAAGGCTGCCAGGTGGACAGGGTGGCTTGAGTGCTCTCCAGCACACAGGCAGGGCTCAGTGCTCCAGAAAGGGGCTTTGGCTCTCAGTGTCCCACAGACCTGGAGCCCAAGAGATGGATGTCTGTCATCCCAGCTCCACGTCCAGCTAGCCTGTCAGGCTCCTTCTAAGCTGTTTCTTGTTTCTGTGGTACAGATCTGGCACCACGGTGCTTGGTGGGGGTACAAAGCCCTCCGCCAGTCCCAGGGCCTTTGGTGTCCACAGAGCAGCAGCTGGAGCTTCTGGAGGTTGGATTCTGGTGGAGGCGTGAGGCGGACAATACAGGGAGCTGGGCAGTGGACAAGAAGAAGTTGAAGCTGAGATTTCGTAGCACATCCACCTTTCTCTCTGACCTATGCTGACCGAAACCTGTGTGTGGCTGAGGCACAGCCGTTTCCTCCTCTTTGAGGCGACCGCTGGGATGCCTGAGGTGAATTTCAGGGAGGAGACCCTATGGGTTGAGGCTGAGCCTGGACAGAAGATCTGTTGACCACCTGGAGCACCCCTAACTCACACACCAAGCCACGTGGCTCTGTCATAATTGCAGCTCCTTACAGATAAGAGTTTTGGAGTTCAAAGCCTGATGTCCATCCACAAAGGGCAGCGGGCTAGGGCCTGCGGTCAGGGACAGGTGAGTCTCCTTTCCGAAGCATGTTCCTGGACTCCAAGGCCCCAACCACACCCACTTTCCCTTTCAGGTTGGCCGGTGGGGCTGGTGTGGCAGGATGGCTGCATCCCTGGAGCCCCAGAAGCAGGGTGAGGCACTGGTGCTGGTCCGACGGCAGCGCCCGGTGTCCCAGGGCCTGCTGGAGACACTGCAGGCCAGGCTGATCCAGAGCTGCGCCTGCAGTGTGCCACGTGTCCAGGCGCTGGTGCAGGACCTGATCCCAGCCACAAGCTGGCTGCGCCACTACTGTCTGAGGGAGCACCTGCCAGGTGACATCATGTCTGGGCTGGTCATCGGCATCATCCTGGTACCACAAGCCATCGCGTACTCGCTGCTGGCTGGGCTGCAGCCCATCTACAGCCTCTACACCTCCTTCTTTGCCAACCTCATCTACTTCCTCATGGGCACCTCACACCACGTCTCCGTGGGCATCTTCAGCCTTCTGTGCCTCATGGTAGGACAGGTGGTGGACCGCGAGCTGCAGCTGGCCGGCTTTGACCCCTCTCGGGACGGCCCGGGGCATGGGGACAACGGCAGCACCTTGAACGGCTCAGCGGTCCTGCTGGAGTTTGGGCTGCAGAGCTGTGGGCGGGACTGCCTCGCCATCCGCATTGCCACCGCCCTGACGCTGGTGACCGGGATCTACCAGGTGAGAGCCCCGCTGCACGTGGGCGGGTCTGGCTGCTGGCGGGGGGCCCTGGGCGCCTGCCACCATCAGCAGTGTGAGCCTGGGAGGAGCCATCCTTCAGCCGCGGCCGGGGCCTCCAAGAGGACACAGGAGCGCGGCCCCAGGCCTCCGAGAGGCACAGGAGCACGGCCCCAGGCCTCCGAGAGGCACAGGAGCGTGGCCCCAGGCCTCCGAGAGGGCACAGGAGCGCGGCCCCAGGCCTCCGAGAGGGCACAGGAGCGCGGCCCCAGGCCTCCGAGAGGCACAGGAGCGCGGCCCCAGGCAGGAGGCGGGCAGTACAGGAAGTGTTCAATGGCAGCCCCGTGGGGTGGGCCTGGGTCTGTCTGTCCCATTCCCTTTGTCAGTCCCGTGGATGTGCGGGAGGGAGCTGGGTAGGCAGCGCTTCGGCACTCAGAGACCCAATTCTGAAACAAAACCCAGTTCTGCCCGAGACATGAGTGTCCACGCCAGGATGTGCGGCTGTGTCCCCCAACGTGGAATTAGGCCACAAGCAGGCTGTGTGGCTCAGCCAGCTGACCACGCTCTTTTCCAGGTCCTCATGAGCGTCCTCCGGCTGGGCTTCGTGTCCACCTACCTCTCACAACCACTGCTGGACGGCTTCGCCATGGGGGCCTCTGTGACCATCTTGACCTCGCAGCTCAGGCACCTGCTGGGGGTGCGGATCCCCCGGCACCAGGGCCCGGGCATGGTGGTCAGCACGTGGCTGAGCCTGCTGCGCAGCCTGGGGCAGGCCAACCTGTGTGATGTGGTCACCAGCGCCGTGTGCCTGGCGGTGCTGCTGGCGGCTAAGGCACTCTCAGATCGCTTTCGGCACCGCCTGCGCGTGCCGCTGCCCACAGAGCTGCTGGTCATCGTGGTGGCCACGCTCGTGTCCCACTTTGGGCAGTTCCACAAACACTTCGGCTCCAGTGTGGCTGGTAACATCCCCACGGGCTTCGTGGCCCCACAGGTGCCACACCCCAGGCTGATGTGGCGTGTGTCACTGGACGCTGTGTCCCTGGCCCTTGTGGGCTCGGCCTTCTCCATCTCGCTGGCAGAAATGTTCGCCCGCAGCCACGGCTACTCTGTCCGGGCCAACCAGGAGCTGCTGGCTGTGGGCTGCTGCAACGTGCTGCCTGCCTTCTTCCACTCCTATGCCACTAGTGCCACCCTGGCCAAGAGCCTGGTGAAGACCGCCACTGGCTGCCGGACACAGCTGTCCAGCGTGGTCAGCGCTGCAGTGGTGCTGCTGGTCCTCTTGGTGCTGGCCCCGCTGTTCCGAGACCTACAGCGGAGCGTGCTGGCCTGCATCATTGTGGTCAGCCTCAGGGGGGCCCTGCGGAAGGTGAAGGACCTGCCGGGGCTGTGGCGGCTGAGCCCAGCGGATGCCCTGGTCTGGGTGGCCACGGCCGTCACCTGCATCCTGGTCAGCACGGAGGCCGGGCTGCTGGCCGGGCTGCTGCTCTCGCTTCTCAGCCTGGTAGGCCGCACACAGCGCCCTCGGGCCACCCTGCTCGCCCGTGTCGGAGACTCGGCCTTCTACGAGGATGCCATGGAGTTCGTGGGCCTCCTGCCTCCGCCGGGCGTGCAGGTGTTCCGCTTTGCAGGGCCGCTCTACTATGCCAACAAGGACTTCTTCCTGCAGTCACTCTATAGACTCACAGGGCTGGATGCAGGGCGTCTGGCCACCAGGAAGAAGGAGCAGAGCCTGGAGGTGGTGGTCAGTGAGAGCAGCCCCCCTGATGGCAAACACCTGGGCTCTGTGAGCAGCGAGGCCAGGCTGATGCCCCTGGAAGTTGGTTTCCACACGGTGGTCCTCGACTGTGCCCCTTTGCTGTTCCTGGATGTGGCCGGTGTGGCCACGCTGCAGGCCCTGCGCAGGGATTACAGAACCCTGGGCGTGGCCCTGCTCCTGGCCTGCTGCAGCCCCCCCGTGAGGGACACGCTGAGGAGGGGGGGCTTTCTGGGGGAGGATCAGGGAGCGGAGGATGAGCAGCTCTTCCCCAGTGTGCACAGTGCCGTGGAGGCTGCACGTGCCGGCCACAGGGAGCTGAGGACTGCTGACTCCGCCCTCTAGCAGGGCCAGGGCCTGGTCATCCGTCTCTCCTCCCTCTGGGAGCTGTCCTCCTTCCCCAGGGCAATGCAAGGTCTAGTGGTGTCTGAGAGACGTGACTTTGGCCCATCTCTTCCCTGGAGAAGCCAGAGAAGCCAAACTGGAAGAGTGGTACTTGGAACACGCCCAAGAACCCCACACATTCAATGCTGAGCACCTGGTGTCCTGATGGGCGCTCAGCCTGGTGCTAGCACAAGGCTCCTAGGCCGGCATGCTCAGAAGAGCCGTGTCTGCTTTGACATCCTGTCTTATTTGAAGAGGATCCTGCAAACTATCCCCAGGCCTACTCAGCCCCTGCCCCACTGGGCTGCAGTCAGACATGCAGCCAAGGCAAGACGGTCTGTCTGTGGAAGGCCACCCTCCCCCAGCGCTCCTCCACCTCATGCTGACCCCAGCAGGGCCTCACAGGACAGCCATCCACTCCAGGGTAGCTGCCCCAATGTCAGGGCCAAATGACCGACACAACCTCAGACTGGCTGGGGACAGCAGCCCTGGTCAGCTCAGCCAGCAACGCACAGCATGGGGGACGCACACAGCCCTGTGCTGTGTAGTCCAGCCGCATCTGAACCCCCAGACGACCTTCAGGGAGAAACCACTGGACCAAGAGGCCACCCTCAGCACACAGGGGCCTTGGGGACCCCCGCACAGCCAGCCCAGATGTCCTCCCACCACCAAGAGGGAAATAAACAGGAAGCACAGGTCTGTGTTCCTCAGAGTAGCTCCCATTTTGTGTTCCACTAGGAAGCCCCACCGGCAACCAAGCATGCGCCCCACGTCTAGCCCCGTGAGCCCAGCAGCTCCGCAGCATCTCCGTCCGGGAGGGCCTTTAGCTGGCCGCCGGCCCGCCCTCCCACCCGTACACGCACCTGGCTGTGACAAGATCCAGGAGCCAGTGTGTGCGGACCTGCCTGATGCCACCGTGAGGGACGGCGCCCACGTAGGCGAGGTTCAGCCGCTGGTCCCAGCTGAGGTCATAGCGGTCAGCCTGGCTGTGGGGCAGAGGGGGGCTGCAGAAAGGACAGACAGGGCACGGTTGGTGGCTAGGAGGGAATGGACAGTGTGTACTCCCCCTGACTTGGATAAAGCGCCCCTTGCTCCAGGAAAGAGGTGCAGGCTGCCTCCCACGGGGATGCCTGGCGACTGTTGGACTGGGCTGGGCTGGCCACAGGGGCTGGGGCGGGCAGCGCGGCCAGGCGGCCCCAGAGCCTCCAGGTCCATTGGCTGGGTACTGCGGGGAAGTCCAGGCTCCTCTCTCGGGGTGCGCGCCCCACGGGGGGGGGGGAATCACGTGGTGCCCCTAGAGGGTCACAGGTGCCCACGGGGGTCATGGGGGTGGGTCTCGGGTGCCCACAGGGGCCATGGGGGGGGTCACGGGTGCCCACGGAGGGGGGCTTCCCCGCACTCCAGGCCCGCGGAGCTGGCACAAAGGCATTTCCCGGCGGAGCCCCGGGAGCCCCGGGCCGGCCCCGCGTGGGGCTGAACAGCCTGGGCTGGGGGAGCGCGGCTGGCCGGCCGGCGGGCTCCGTGTCTCCCGGCGGGACGCTCACCAGAAGCCGGTGCTCCTCCAGAAGGGCCGCAGCGGGCGGAGCGCGCGCGCCGCGTCCACGCGCACCAGGTGCGGGGTCTCGGCCCGGGCCGCCGGGGGCGCGGCCAGGAGCGCGGCCAGGAGCGCCAGCAGCGCGGCGCGGGGGCGCATGGCGGGGCGCAGGGCGGGGCGCAGGGCGGGGCGCACGCGGGGCGCACGCGGGGCGCAGGGCGGGGCGCACGCGGGGCGCAGGGCGGGGCGCAGGGCGGGGCGCAGGGCGGGGCGCAGGGCGGGGCGCACGCGGGGCGCACGCGGGGCGCAGGGCGGGGCGCGCGGCGGGAAGCACGGCGTCCGGGAGGCGCCCACGTGACCGCGGGCCGGGAGGGGCGGGGGCCGGGGCGGAAGCCGGGGCCGGGGCCGGGGCGGGCGGGCGGGCGGGCGGGCCACGGGGTTCCTCTTCCGGGCGAGCCCGACCCTGACCTCGGCGCCCCGGCTGGGTGGGCGGCGCCCCCGGGCGGCTGCGGGATCGGCCTGGGCTGCGGGAACGGCCTGGGCTGCGGGAACGGCCTGGGCTGCGGGATCGGCCTGGGCTGCGGGAACGGCCTGGGCTGCGGGAACGGCCTGGGCTGCGGGAACGGCCTGGGCTGCGGGAACGGCCTGGGCTGCGGGATCGGCCTGGGCTGCGGGAACGGCCTGGGCTGCGGGATCGGCCTGGGCTGCGGGATCGGCCTGGGCTGCGGGAACGGCCTGGGCTGCGGGATCGGCCTGGGCTGCGGGAACGGCCTGGGCTGCGGGAACGGCCTGGGCTGCGGGATCGGCCTGGGCGCGGGCGGCGGGGCGAGGGGGTGCAGGGGGGGGAGGGTCGCCGGCCGCGGTGTCGGGGCGCGGCCGACCCGTCTCCTCAGGCTCCGGAGCCGGGCCTCGGCCCGAAGGCCTGGCCGGACCTAGGATCTGGGACCCCGGACCCCGGACCCAGGATCCTGGACCCGAACCCCGGGGCCACTGCGGGCTGTTCACCGGTGAGGGTCGTGGTGAGGTGGGGAGGGGGAGGGGGGAGGAGGGGGAGGAGGGCAGGGTCAGGTCGCAGGACCCGCCTGGAGCTCGCGCGCCGCTACTTCGGGCAGAGAGCGCACTGGGATTCCGTCCGTCCGTCCGTCTGTCCCGCCCGCGCACTGGGATTCCGTCCATCCGTCCGTCTGTCCCGCCCGCGCGCTGGGATTCCGTCCATCCGTCCGTCTGTCCCGCCCGCGCGCTGGGATTCCGTCCGTCCGCCCGCGCACTGGGATTCCGTCTGCGCCCCCCACATCTCAGCGCTGGCCCAGAGAAGGCCAGGCCCCGCCCGCAGGGGCGCAGCTCCTCAGGGTGACTCAAGTCGGGGGTCTCTGGGGAGGACGCCGCGGCTCTGCGCGCCGAGCCGTAGCCGTGGCGCGGGGTTAGACCGCAGACCGCGCGCCTGGAGACCGCGCCCGCCGGGAAGAGAGGAGGACAGGGTATTCAAGGGGAGATGTTGGACAGCAGAAAGTAGGGGCTGCAGAGTCACTAGAACTGCCAGCGAGTCGTGAGACTGAAAACAACCCGTGGAGAGAGCAGTGGTCTGCACAGGACTGCGGCAGCAAGCAGGTGGCAGCGGGTTTGGAAGGCTGGGCCTGTGCCCGCAGCAGAACCGCGGGGCAGGGGTGGGTGGGGCCCCGGGCCCCAGGCCGCCCCAGGCCCCGGGCCCCCGGCCCCAGGCCGCCCCAGGCCCCAGGCCGCCCCAGGCCCCAGGCCGCCCCGGGCCCCCGGCCCCAGGCCGCTCCAGGCCCCGGGCCGCCTCCCACAGCTCCCAGGGCAGGAGGGATCGGGCTGGGGTAGGGCCTCCCTGGGGGAAGGCCTGCCCTCTGTGGGTGTGCCAGGCTTTCTGGCTTCCCCTTTAGCAAGCCCAGTGTTCCCCGCACCTGTCAGGAGGCCTCTCTAAAGCTTTGCTTTGCTGTCTCACAGCCGCCAACTCTGGAAGCTAAATGAATCTCTTCTGTTTTAAGACAACCCAGACTCAGGTATTTCATCATATGAGCAAAATACAAAGAGCTACAGGGGCTTACTTCATAGACGAGTAGATGAATGTCTCTATCAGGAAGGATAAATTCCCCAGAAGAATGGACTGATAGAATATGACAGTCAATGCAAGTGTTGCATAAAACACTAGGAGTGCAGAGAACAGCCCGACAGCAGAACCTAAACAGTGGACAGGTAACCATTGAATAGAAGGAGGAACGTAGCAGTTACCATGTTCTGGGGTCTTTTTATTTAAAGAGGGGTCAACATATTATTAATTAGGTTTGAAATTTCAAGTGAAAATGTCAGTTATTCAACAGAAAAACAACAACATTTAATTCTAGCCAACAGATAGGAAAACACAATGCAAAAAAAATGATAATAAAAATTAGTGGTGGCTCACACTTGTAATCCTAGCCACTAAGGAAACTGAGATCTGAGGATCTCGGTTCAAAGCCAGCCCCAGCAGGAAAGCCTTTAAAACTCTTATTTCCAATAAACCACTCAGAAAACTGGAAATGGCCCTGTGGCTCAAGTGGTAGAGCACTAGTCTTGAGCTGACAAGCTGAGGGACAGCGCCCAGAGTTCAAGCCCCACAACCTACAAAAAAATTTAAAAATAGAAACAATTAAAAAACTAAAAGGCAGGAGAGAATAGGAAAGCCTGGCTGTGTTGAGCATGCCTGTAATCCCAGCCTCCTCCCTCCCCAAGAAGTGGGGGTGCAAAAATCACAAGGTGTAGGCAAGCCTGGGTTACATAGTAACAAACTAACAAGTCCAGAAGCTGGTGGCTCACACCTGTGATCCTAGCTGGACCCTGAGTTCCAGCTTTTTGGTAGTGAATTGGAGATAAGAGTCTCGCGGGGGCTGGGAAGGTGGCTCAGTGGTAGAGCGCTTGCCTTGCATGCTCGAGGCCCTGGGTTCGATTCCTCAGCACCACATAAGCAAAAAAGAAAAAGCCAGATGTGACGCTGTGGCTCAGGTGGTAGAGCGCTAGCCTTGAGCTGAAGAGCTGAGGGACAGTGTTCAGGCCCCACGACCAGACCAAAAAAAAACAAAACAAAAAAGAGTCTCATGGATTTTCCTCCTCAGGCTGACTTTGAACCATGATCCTCAGATCTCAGCTTCCTGGTTAGCTAGTATTTCAAACGTGAGCCACTGAAGCCCGGCACAAGGCTATTTCTGATCCATGCTTCTGAGGACTGCCCCAGGAGAGAAGCAGGGATCCGCTGCACATCATCTGGGAAGAAAGCTTCCAGTCAGGGACAAGGTGGAGAGTCTGCAGGTTTGGGCAGGTACAGACTCAGGACCACATCATGCTAAAGCAAAGGTAAGCCAGGCACTGGATTTTCCTCAAGAAGAATGTAAACCCAGCCTGAGATCACCTCACACTCTGAGTGAATGAAGACGGCCACAAACCAGCTACCTCCCAGAAGAGCAGCTATCCCCTGTTGGAAGGTTAACCAGAAGTCCTCAGAACACAAAGCTGGGATAGGTCCTGGCTCAGGGAAAGATGGTCAGCTGGGTTCACTGGGTGTGGTCAGGACAACTCACAACCTGGAATATGTACTGTTTACTGCTCAATAAAATCCAGCAGTGACACGCTGTCAAATCAGTGAGTTTCTGCCTTTTGGCTAATTGGAAGAATATGAATTCTACCAATGACAATTTCCAAAAGTATTAAGTGGCATGATGGTTAGGAGTAAAGATGTTCTTTTGAAATCCAAGTAGTTTGAGGTGATAGGTAATCATGTCTGAACCCAAATTGGCTCTGGAAGCTAACACAACATGCAATAACAAGAGTAAGAAAAAGTAAACAAGCAGGGCGCCAGTGGCGCACGCCTGTAATCCTAGCTACTCAGGAGGCTGAGATCTGAGGATCAAGTTCAAAGCCAGCCCCGGCAGGAAAGTCTGTGAGATTCTTATCTCCAATTAACTACCAGAAAACCTAAAGAGGTGCTGTGGTTCAAGTGGTAGAGCGCTTGCCTTGAGCTGAAGAACTCAGGAACAGCGCCCAGACTCAGAGTTGAAAGTCCATGACTGACAAAAAAATGAACAAAGAGGGGCTGGGAAGATGGCTCAGTGGTAGAGCGCTTGCCTTGCATGCATGAGGCCCTGGGTTCGATTCCTCAGCACTACATAAGCAAAAAGAAAAAACTCGGAAGTGGTGCTGTGGCTCAAGTGGTAGAGCGCTAGCCTTGAGCTGAAGAGCTGAGGGACAGCGCCCAGGCCCAGAGTTCAGGCCCCATGACCGGACCCAAAAAAAAAAAAAAAAAGAACAAAGAAAAAGCAAACAGATAAATATTAACAATTGGTAAACCTGGGGAAAATATATACTATTATTATAACCTATCTGCAAGTCTGAAATTTTTCAACATGAAAATGTTGAAAAAGGCTGGGAATGTGGCTTAGTGGTAGAGTGCTTGCCTAGCATGCATGAAGTCCTGAGTTTGATTCCTCCGTACCATATAAACAGAAAAAGCTGAAAGTGTC